CCTCGAATCTCTTGGTTTAAAGAAAACATACTCAAAGATGAACTGAACTTATGGGGACGCTGATTTCAGGTCATATTGGAAGTGATGTAGCATGGATTAAGGAGGGTGTTAAATATGCTCGCCCCTTCACATGTGAGGGGATCACGACTCAATACCAGATGGAAGTGTTTTACAAGGTATGCAGGAATACACGCGCACAGCTTCAAAGAACACTATATATGGCAGTGCTAAATTACTGGATTAGAACAGCCATCTAGTTATTTTATGATGGCCCTTTTATCCGTTACCTCACTTTTGCAACTGTGGCCCAATTAGAGAATTGATCTTCTGCCCAGGTGTGTGCGCCAGTGCCAATTTATGGTTGCGTGAACTCAAGCGAATCACCAGAGCAGAAGAAAATGCGTAATGCGGGTATTCACCGAATGAGAGCCAAGCCTTGTTGAGATTACTAGGTTTAGAAGCCCCTCCACGCATTAAAACAATTAAAAGTCCAGGCAAAGTAAGCTTGGGCTCCGCAGCGGAGTTATTATTCAAACCGCAAGGGAAGGTGGGTTAATCACATTGTTATCACATGCCCCATTGGCAAAACCTTCCACTGGCAAAACAACTGAAAGTTCAGAGTGGCGCAGAGTTTGGGTTTAGGCGGTAAGTATTCTCAATATAGAAACCATGAAACGCTTAGCCAGAACTATTACGGCGGAATAGAGCTATTGACCTACACGATTCATACGCGCACTATATATATATAACCTTATGAAGGCTTGCTGTAAAACTATTTGAGAGGCTGGCGCGTACATGTTGATAGGAATATAGATATTGCGAATATCAAGCCTCTGATAAGCCCCGATAGAATAAAACCAAGAACTAAAGCGAATCTTGGAAATTATCAAGAGTTTCAGATCACAGTTAAAATGTCTGGCGCTCGATAAGCAGGCAGAGGAAGGTCAGGGGAGGTCACTGCGTTCAGCGCAGCCTTGCGCTTCCGAGATATTAGGCAAGGTGTCGAGCCCCATATATAGACCCATAAGACGCATCAATCATTACCAAAGTTTTTCAGCAGATACGAGAATACCTAGAACCGCTACACGCTTGGGGTCACGGTGGACTGTAAGATAAAATCAATAATGTCTATCTAGACGCAGCTAACTTACATGATGCCATTCAGAGCGGAGTCATGCCTAGACTAACCGCCACCTACTATAGGAAAAACATGCCATAGTCAGCATTAGGAATAGGGGAGACGATTGCCTGAGGGTAGCTATCGGGTCAGCCTTGTTTCGGCTGACACTCATTCGAGACAGGCTTTCTACAGCTATCCCACAGACGATGGGCTCCAGCTGGGATGAAGTATAGATGCCACCCCCATATCCCGAGATAACTAAAATAGAAAAACAGAACCAATCACAGCTATAAAATGTCTTTGGAGCACGAAGGTAACTTACAACAATAGTGCACAGGAGCCAGCCCGTTAAGAGGAACCCCAAAGGAAACCTATGTTATCAATATATTAAGCATGATCCAGCGAGGGTGACAAGTACCACTACACACTACGGTTCATAACCACTTTAGCAGGCTGTTGTATGCATGACCAATCGGCACACAGAGAAAAGACCCGCTTCAGCGAGCTGAGTTGCCATGCATGAAGCTTCTCACGAGCTGATTTACATTAGGAGAATCCCACCGGGAGGATTTACTGCCAAGGTAATGCAGGGCAGACAGCTACTACGAAGATCGAGCATGCCTAGGAATGGCCGATAACTTATCCACTAAATTCGGTAACCACAAGAACCAGTATACATATTGCCTTAACCTGCATGCCATATACCTCAAACTTTGGAAGCCTTGGATTTAAACCTGTTGAGAGGCTACCTTGCCACCGAGAAGCGGGGCGACAATACTCCAACCACCTCAAAACAGAACATGAAGCCTGTAGGTTTTGGATTACTGTGGTCGTCCGATGTGATGGGAAGCAAAGCTCCGGTAGTGTATAGGGTCCCTGACGCACGAAAGGTTTCTTAAGGTCGTAAGAGGCGACTGAGGCGATCGAGTGGTCAGGCTCGCTGACTTGGTTGACACATGTCATCGTATCCAAATTGCGTAGGTCGATGTTCATGCTGTTGATCACTGGATTGTCTGGTCCAGACTCGATTATTTACAGACCGCCCGCCATAAAGCTGGAATATTGCTGAATGAGGCGTTAAACAACCAAGCAACCAACCAACGATCGGTGTGACCACCATACTAGCCATCCTGCAGTGTCCAACAGTGTGTGGTTACATCACTCAGTACGGTTTCCTCGCCCTCAACAGCACTATGGGGACACTTGGCAGCAGTCATCTACCCATACTGGAGGTCGAACTAGAGTGACAAATGAACGATTAACACAGACTATCTCCATATGAAAGCGACAAGATATTAAGTATAAGAATAGCACTTGTCAAATCAGTCCCGGCAGAAATGCCAAATAGAAAATGAACTAGACGGACAGTAGAACTGACAACGAATCTATCCATCTACTGCTCAATTGGGTCCAAAATGATCTAACCCTGCTCCCTGACCAGGTCATCATGGGCTACGTAAGGACGAGAACTGGCGTGGACCACATCCTATCCATCTACTGGCGCCTGGATGTACAAGGACGAGCTACGTGGGGCGGGGCCTACGAAGCAGAAGTATCTGACTGCGGCACGAGAACTTCCACCAGAACGGATCCGCGTGGGATTCTCCTGGGATGACAAACAGGCGGGAGAAACGGTGAGTTGTCATGGCAACGTGTTGGTTATGTCTTTACCTTCTCTCACGAGGTCAGTGTCTACTGTATGTCAGAAGAATATTCCACAAAATAGTCCGTTTAGCAACACTAGAAGATTTAATAATAATATCTATATACAGTCAAAGCAAACATTTTCATTTAGTGACAAAGTCAATATGCTAACTTTTCATCGAGTGATGCCAGTTTTGCCGTACATGGCGAATTCCAATTCCGCTCGTCTCAGGTCTACAAAATGTAACAGGCGATCAGGAGTAAACACACAAAATCTGTAAAACACCACACGGTGTCATGGCGGTATCTGCCTCAAAGCCGTCACCGAAACACTGCAAACGGAAGGTCAAACACCCAACTATGGTTCCAACATCAAAGACACAACCATCCAATGTCCATTTCTTGGTTATTCATCACGTCAAAACGCCATCACACATTGGCGTACATTCACTTCGACCGGCTGGTTCGGGGAAACGTTTTTAATCACTTTTTTCAACTCTGTTGGTACTTGTGACACTACCATGAAGTTTACACAGATATATTTTGATGTTTAAACACAAACTAGTCCACTAGACACCATATGCCGTTTTGGGGAAGTTGATTCGTGTTCTAGTTACCCTTGTGATGCCGTGGATAATGCTGGAATACTGCTCAAAAGCAGCATAAAACCATACTCACCCACTCGTGTTACTCCTTGTGAAGCCCATATCTGGTGTCCCTCCGTGGTATTGCTAGAATATTGCTAAAAGCGGCATAAAACCATACTCACTCACTCGTGTCTCTCCTTGTTCAGGTGTTGCTGTACAAGCTGACCAAGAAGGACAAGTACAAGCAGGACATTGTCCAGACCTTCCTGGACTGGATGCCCGGCGGCTCGATCCCATACACCCCAACGGCCTCGCCTACAGACTGCAGTGGGGAGCCATCCGATATGCCAGTACGTACATTTCCACCCTGATACAACAATCCACTATAGTGGGGAGCCATCCGTGGGATATGCCAGTACGTACATTCCATTCTGATACAACAATCAACAGTAGTGGGGAGCCATCAGATATGCCAGTACGTACATTCCACCTGATACAACAACCCACAGCAGTGGGGAGCCATCAGATATGCCAGTACGTACATTCCACTCTGATACAACAACCCACACAGTGGGGAGCCATCAGATATGCCAGTACGTACATTCCACCTGATACAACAACCCACTACAGTGGGGTAGCCATCAGATGCCAGTACGTACGTACATTCCACTCTGATACAACAACCCACTACATGGGGAGCCATCAGATATGCCAGTACGTACATTCCACTCTGATACAACAACCCACTACAGTGGGGAGCCATCAGATATGCCAGTACGTACATTCCACTCTGATACAACAACCCACTACAGTGGGGAGCCATCAGATATGCCAGTACGTACATTCCACTCTGATACAACAACCCACTACAGTGGGGAGCCATCAGATATGCCAGTACGTACATTCCCCCTGATACAACAACCCACTACAGTGGGGAGCCATCAGATATGCCAGTACGTACATTCCACTCTGATACAACAACCCACTACAGTGGGGAGCCATCAGATATGCCAGTACGTACATTCCACCCTGATACAACAACCCACAGCAGTGGGGAGCCATCAGATATGCCAGTACGTACATTCCACCCTGATACAACAACCCACTGTAGTGGTGAGCAATCAGATATGCCAGTACGTACATTCCACTCGGTGAGGTATGCCATCAGATACATGCCAACCCACTGATACAACAAGCCCTTGTGGTGAGCCATCAGATATGCCAGTACGTACATTCCACTCTGATACAACAACCCACTACAGTGGGGAGCTATCAGATATGCCAGTACGTACATTCCACTCTGATACAACAACCCACTACGGTGGGGAGCTATCAGATATGCCAGTACGTACATTCCACTCTGATACAACAATCCTCTCTCTGAGGGAGCCCTAACACTTACTTTTGTACCGACAATAGGTATATGGCGGGTGCTACGGTAGAGTAAGACATGCTAACCCTTACCCCAAAATAACTGATCAAAACCTTTAGCAGAAACTCTGAAAATTGTCTTACAAGCAGCAAGTCATCACCAGTCTACGTCTCGACCGCGGGATGGCATGTTTCGCGTGACCATAAAGGGGTATTTAGAACAGGTGCAGAGACGGGTCACTGTCTACGTGTTCTTGAAATGCTAACCCCTGAAGCAGACCTCAAGGATGAATGTTATTATTTGCCCAAACTAGCAATCGATGATGGAGATATCGAAGATATGACTCAATAATCTGCCTTAATCATAAACCAGAATCCCTCGACCACTTCAACAGGCTTGGTACGATGAGTATGCCCACTGTAGTACTTACCTGGGTCATCCTTATTATGATTTAGGGTGAAGGGGATAGCTTAGTTGTTAAACCGTTCGCTCGTCACGCCGAAAAGTAGGGTTCGATTCCCTACATGGGTTCAATGTGTGAAGCCTATTTCTGGTGTCCCCTGTCGTGACATGGCAGGAACATTGCTGAAAGCCAAATTCACTCACTGGTGTTCCATGTAGATAAGGGTCAAGAGTGGCCCTATCTATCTTTTGATGTGCGTACCTGAAATGAGTCAAACCATTGATAGAGGGTTCGAACCCTGTTTCGCCTATATTACTTTTCCAGGGTATCAAACGATTACCCCTAAATTACTTGGCGCCTTCAACAGCATCCATCTACTGTGATTCACACAGTTCAAAACCCTTTCAATTTCTCTGCAGTTAACATGGCGTTCATTGCACTGATGGCAGCAGAAGAAGGCCTCAGTGCTGCGGCGTACAGGAAGTGGGCTATGAGTCAGGTTCACTTCGCACTGGGAGATGCTGGCCACAGCTACGTTGTTGGATTCGGAAAGAACCCCCCTCAACGCCCCCACCACAGGGGAAGGTAAGTTACAGATGGGTCTATACCCCTCAACGCCCCCACCACAGGGGAAGGTAGGTTACAGATGGGTAGTGGGTAGGGAAATCTACCTGGTTCATCTGTTGCTCACTAATATGTACATTTCCAATTTAAATTGAGCAAATGGATAAATATGTAAATATAAAGTTACATGTTTCAACTACCACATGAGGCACTTAGAAATATAAATGAAGCTATTTCTTTTGTTGATAAGTCATATTTACCTATCCTTCTAAATATTCAACTCATTAGCTGATGACTTCTGTTTAAGCTCCTGCCCAATGATGCCTGCTCCCTGTGGCTGGAACGACCAGCGCCAAGCGGGCCCGAACCCCCACACACTATTTGGGGCGTTAGTGGGGGGACCGGACAAGTCCGGGTCCTACTCCGACAAGCGAGATGACTATGTCAGGAACGAAGTAGCGTGTGACTACAACGCCGCCTTCCAGGGAGCAGTTGCAGGTGCGTGAACACAGTCAGCTTCATCCTTCCACAGGGTAGCCTGTTGGGTAACGTTCGCTGGTGCGTAGCCTGTCCACAGGGTAGCCTGTTGGGTAACGTTCGCTGGTGCGTGAACGCAGTCAGCTGCATCCTTCCACAGGGTAGCCTGTTGAGTAACGTTCGCTGGTGAAAGACCCTTGTTCGATTCCCTCATTCATTACGTGAGAAATCAATGTCCTATATCTACCGCCACAGTAATGATGGAAGTTTACTCAAATCGGTATGAAACCAATTTTGGTCACTCAGTGATAAGCCTGGTGTTTCAGTTAAAAACCATCCTATTTTTCTACAGGGTATTTTCTGCCTATCCTCTCTGGTGTTTATGTGAGTGATTCTTTGACATAAGGAATGTAGTGAGGTGATGTATAATGGAGAGTTGTGGTAACACGTGTATGCATCCATAAGGAATGTATTTTCTATTGTTTCAGCTCTGAAATCGCTGTACTTGAGGAAGCTATACCCGAACTAAACTCAACATACTTGTTTACATTATCATGGAATAAATACTATACACTTGTACACTTCTAATCCGAGTCATCTCTTTTTTGACACTTTAGATAACAATCCTCTGATACTGTCAATGTGCCTACGTTCTTATATAGAGCCAGACTTGCAGGCGTATAGTCTTTGACGGAGTCGTATTTGTCTGCTTTCTGACACAGTCATAGAAACAACACTGAAGCAATATAAAACATCCCTCTGGTGCTGTGTGTAGGGAAGGCAAGCGTTCTTAAGGCAGAACAGTGTGCTGTGATCGTATCCTCAAGCAACCGGGTTGTTTTCAGCCTATAGACACAACGTTTACAGGTTTTAGGGTGTTGTCACTTCCGGGGTGTACAGTACATATAATATCCTCAGACGGACAGTACACAGGTGGCAGAGTCTTTTTTGTGGCAAGGGACTTAGTTCAAACGTGCCTCTGTTCACCGGCAGATAATGGTACTAGAGATTGTGGGGTAAAATCTCCGAAGCTAGTAGAGAATGATATGTGGAATGCATGCGTATACACCACATGTGGGCCGTTTCTAGAACCTGGACGATACAACAATGACTTGGTTATAAAACGTTAGTCATAAAACCCAGCGGTATGCTGATCACAATTCTTACACATGGAACGCAGCTTTAAAGATCATGTGAATTTATGAAGATAAAATTCGGTACGGAGGTTTAATTATTATCTATCGATCGATGTAATCTGGCAATGTTATAATGTAATGTCAGAGAATAGCGATTCCATTGGGAGTAAAAGGCAAATTATTTGAAAATGAATTAAATGGATCACTGGTCTGGGTTTTGTACAAAGGCGTCTCGTAGATTCTTGGATATTATCAACGTTACAGCAATACCATATTATGAAGATATTTCGATAGATTTATGCAGTTCGGGATATATGAAAAATCAGAAAAGGCGTTGCTTAAGATGATTTCCGGGTATGTGTGTTTTGCTGGCTTTTTGGTTTGCTCTGAAACTGACCGCTAGATGGCATCTTTCGATTTATTATACGGTCAGCTTTGCCGTTTTATACATGCTTCAAAATTGCTTTATTATCAACACACCTGCCGTCGATGCGTGCATGCCGGCGTTGTAGTCGCACGCCACCTCGTTCTTCACGTAGTCCATTCTGCTGTCGGTGTAGTCGTCGCCCTGACCTGGGCCGCCCTCCATGGCGCCGTACAGGGTGTGTGGGTTAGGGCCTTTGTTAAGCTGGGCGTCCCATCCACATGGCGCCGGCAGCATCGGACAGGAACTGGTTGAAGGAAGCATGGAAAACTTTCATGTAGCAGATAGACACGTCCATATCATAATATAAAATGTCAAAAAATTCCTAGAAAATTTCATTTTCAAGAAGTGACCAGCCAGGTGAACAATATTGTTATACGACAACATTTTTATACGTGATGATGAAGTTTGTGATTAATGTGGAAGTTTGTTGCATTCCCAAACCAAACATTCATGTTTCAGACATACAGTCACGAGAACAAGTATACATATATACAATGAACACTGAGAATGTACAAACCTCGCTCGGTGATGTGGCTTCACGGGAGGGTTGACACCAAATCCGACAATATAGCTCCTTCCGGTGTCTCCGTAGGCGTAATGCAACTGCGACATCGCCCACTTCCGGTATTCCTCTGTGTGGAGGCCGTTGTCCGCGGCGACGAGGGCGATGAAAGCCGTGTTGGCTGGAAGTGACATGAGTGAGTGAATGGTGAGGCTCTTTAAACGGAATTAGTGTATTGATATACCACACCGAATATATTCACGTTTATTCAAACCTTCTGCTATACCACTGTAAATCTAGGTTTCGCTTAAATAAACGCATTTGTGAAACGATAAACCATTTGTAACTGCCCCGCTACGCGAGATAGATATTATGTCCTTTAACTGATCGCTATCTGTGCAACACAGATCATACGAACATGATGTTACAAACAGGCATATCTGAGCGCTCCCCACTGTAGTCTGAACGCCATGCACTTGGGACTGTAGGGGACATCTCCACCGGGAAGCCACATCGTGAACGTGTCCTCGATGTCCTTCTTGTATATGTCCTTCTTGGTCTCCTCATACAGCAGCATCTGAAGGACGAGGACATTGTGTAGGTAAAGATTTAGGATCATCTGCTGACGTGTACGCAGAGTGGAGTGAGTGAGTGAATGACAGTCATACTTGTATAATAATTGAGTGAGTTAGTTTTACGCCGCTTTCAGCAAAATTCCAATAATGGCTCATGGCACGATGCACTAGAAATGGACTTTACACTTTGTACCCAAGTGGAGAATCGAACCCGGGTCTTCAGCGTGGCGAGGGAACCACTATGCTACCCCACCGCCCCTCTCATTTCTTTGAATTTTTATTTCAGAGTATACTAAAACGAGCAACATGCACTGGTGAAAAATATATACACATATTCATTGCATACTGAGAATGTATCCACATGGCGACTGTTATCCATGGAACTAAATATGCCGGTGAAGGTTGATGATAATTTTTAATCATTTCATTCAGATTACATTATCCACACACTGGATGTTATATAATGGACCTGCATTCACCTATGACGGATGTAGAGGATACATTAAGACTGTATACCAGGTTTATATCCACGGAAACGGTAATATACTATTTACACTACCACCCCGTGATATCCATGTACTGTTCAAAGTGGCGGTAAATATACTAGGCACATAAAGAAACTGTGCATACAAAAATTTAAAATCTAAATTAATCAAACCTGTGTAGACACATAAGGATTTAAACTCAGAGATTAGTGACATGTATCCAACATGCATGCGCGTTCCGTGACGTCAGTGGGTTCGTCCTTGAGACGTGCAATACGTTGTTGCACGTGCATTCCGGGAAAGAGAAACAGAGCAAATGAATGCCACACAATACTGTCACTTTGGAAAGCTCAACCCCTGCCCTTGCGATCGTTCAAACAATTAAACGGTTATTGAAACGCATAGCATGGCAGGGCACACGTCTGCACAACGTCATGAGGCCATTGGGATCGTCCGTGGGGGAATGTCTCAACGACAAGTGGCTGCACATTTCAACTGCCACCGGAACACCATTTCTGCACTGGTGAGACGCTACCAGAACACAAATGACGTCATCGATCGGCCACGTTCTGGACGTCCACGTGTAACAACGCCAAGACAGGATATATGGATAAGGGTGACCCATCTTCGCCACAGGTTTCAGACTGCAGTGATGACTGCCCGAACCATCCCAGGAATTCGCCGTATCCACCCCAACACAGTTCGACAACGTTTACGTCATCACGGGATCAGACCACGACGTCCCGCCATACGGCCTATCCTGACACAACGTCATCGACAAACTCGCCGAATGTGGTGCCGAAATCATGTCCGCAGACCCTTGTTTTGGTGGAGAAATGTTGTTTTTACAGATGAGTCCAGGTTTAACATTTCCCATAGTGATGGACGTCAACGTGCCTATAGACGCGTGGGAGAACGTTATGCACAGGCCTGTGTCTTGGAGAGGAATCGCTTTGGTGGTGGTTCCGTGATGATTTGGGGTGGAATAACAGCACGCCAAAGAACTCCTTTGGTGATTGTTCAGGGCAACTTAACTGGTGTGGGCTACAGGGATCAGATTCTTCGACCTGTGGCAATTCCTTTTCTGCAACGTCATGGCCCTGGGTTAACATTCCAACAGGACAATGCCCGCCCTCATACGGCAAGGGTTGCTATGGATTTCTTGCAACACCACAACGTTGACTTACTGCCTTGGCCTGCAAATTCACCGGATCTCTCCCTGATAGAGCATGTTTGGGACGAGATGGATCGACGTCTATGCCGTCTTCCTCATCCGCCAGATAACGTCCTTGACCTTGCAACAGAACTTGAGAGAATCTGGCGTGACATCCCACAAGCCTTCCTTGCACGTTTGATAGGTTCTATGCGTCGTCGATGCACTGCTGTTCTCAATGCCGATGGTGGACATACCCGTTATTGAGCTTGTGACATGGCCGTTTGACCCCTGTCCCGCTTGTGGACTCGTGACGTCATTGTGATTGACTTTTCAATTGAAATTCTCCCGACTTGTTATGGTCTCAGGATCCCTCCATTAAAGTTTATATGAACCTTTGACATTGTTATCGTACTTATCAACTGGGATAATATTTTGACAATGCATAGTTTCTTTATGTGGCTAGTATATATAATTTGTTATTTCCAAACAATTTCTTAAACTGTAATAACTGCAGAGTTGAAGTCGTTTGGAAACTTCTTGAAAACTCTTGCTAACATTACACAATGCCATTTAGAAAGTGGTCAAATGTAAAATATGTACAAATTCTAGTACCTTGTTGGGTTGAGCCCCACCCGGGACTCGAACCCACCCCTGTTGCTAACAGTTCCTTGAAAATCGTTTAAATCATAAACTTTTTTTTAGAAGATTTATCCAATGTTTTTAACAAAATGAAGCTCGAATATATTTGATAACTGGTTCACTGTTGGTTTTGTAACCGCCCTGCTCGTGATATCACCCTCTCCGGATGTCATGAAAATAAACAAAAAACAAAACAACGTCAACAGTTCATCCTAACATCCCTCATCAACGCCAAAGACTGTCAGTAGAACAAACCGAGTCATTGTTGTCACAGACTAAAATATGTACCTGGGTTCACGACCAACCATGAACACCGGGTGTTACATAAATCTGCAGTCAGCAAAGCCTCGTCGTGGTCAATATGAAGTTAATGCTCCCGTCGCACTCTCATCCGGTTTGTGTATGCTGGAGGATAAGCTAAGCTGATATTAGCACAATGAGAGTAGTGTACCTGTGGCTGTCACAATATATGTCATTAATAGTGTGTTGATAGAGATACTCGATATTGGTCTACAGGGGAAGCTTGTTCATCCAGATGGTTCAATCCACTGCTGGATCAGGATGGCAAGTGGCTTTACATGTCTCTGAGCGTATTGACAGTTGTAGCACATGTACTGGTCTTTTGAAGAGACAGAACTCCGAGCCATGACCCAAACATACCCCATCGCCTATCAGTATCACCATACGCTACCTGTCAGCCATCACTGAGAACAAAGCCAGCACAGATGTCACCTTTTCCAGCGGCAAGGCTTTCAACACCCATCTGCGGGCCATTGTCACAAGCACCAAGATCCGGGTATGAATTGGTCTTCAGCAACCCATGCTTGTCGTAAGAGGCGACTAACGGGATAGGGCTCTCTGACTTGGTTGACACATGTCATCGTGTCCGAATTAGATCGGTGCTTATGCTGTTGATCACTTGATTGTTTGGTCCAGACTCGATTATTACAGACCACCGCCATATAGATGGAATATTGCTGAGTGCGGCGTTAAACCAAAACCCAACCAACCAAACCAACTCTATTAATTCCATTACCAATCAGTGCTTATGACCGATCAGAATAATTTACTTGTGGCTTCCATTTGTATATTGTTATTATCATACAGCATTAAATAATAATTGGGTCAAACTTTGTCATCTTGTTACTTGTGTTTTCTCACATATACATGTAGAAGCTCTTTTTGTACCCTATCATCCATTCACTTCTAAAGAAGTTGTTATCCATAAAGTTTGTCTATTTTGTATCATCCATTCAGCTGATGAAGGAGAAAGAATTTAGTCCGAAACCTTGTGTTTCTTATATGAACGCAGTTGACATCCAAACAATGTATCTGATAAGTATGCACGTCCAGGATTTGCCACTCCCACACAAGCTGCTGAATAGATTTCAAATTTGACGACAACCAGCAACCACCAGCAACCACCAGATTCAAGAACAGAATGTTGACAATCCAGGGTATCGCTTTGTGACAGAGAACATATAATTAGAATTAAAACCATGATCTGAAATGTTTGACCTCGCATGATTTTAGTTGATCTTGTCTGGCTGGCCAGATAATACGTTATTTCTGTTCTGCTCTTGGGACAACAAAACTCCTGATAAGATCTGACCTTGGTCAACAGCCTCCACAAAGATGATGTACCTATTTCCTTTCTATACATCTCGTCTAGGATTGCTGGGAATTGACATTTGCTAAAGGTTAAGATCACAAAGGTGGAAATTACCAGTGCATATAGGCAGAGATACCGACGGATAGAAAACGACCACCCATTGCAAATTTCATGATGTACATAACATTAATACTAAACGATGCATTACAGTCTTATGCAAGAAGTGAACAGTTAATTCAATCAGTTAAAACTCAAGACAAAATACCATGCCTGTATTAAATGCTGTCTGGTACAACACCTAGGTAATGTTTGAAATTGTCAGGTAGGGAAGAGTGAGTGTCTATGGTTTTACGCCGCTTTTTGCAATATTCCAGCAATATCACGGTGGGGGGACACCAGAAATGGGCTTCACATTGCACCCATGTCGGGAATCGAACCCGAGACTTTGGCAGGCATGAAATAGCCCGGGCTACCTCCACACTGTTTACCTGTCAGTAACTCGTATCAAAATGAGAATAACATCGGTTCAGTCCAAAGTAATGAATATCTTTCAAATTCGATACTTCCATAGTTATTTGGCGTATGATCAACGGTTGTATGTACCTAGATGGTCAACTAGATTAGTACCTCGACTTGTATTGAACCTGTATTCGATTTTGGTTTCCAAACAGCAGACTTATTTTTCCCTTTCATTCCAAAATTTTGCAAATCACCTGATTGACAAGAACGAACATAGCAGGGGCCTGCATGGGCCTTGTCAGGGTTGAGTAAATAGATAACGATGGCATAACTACAAGAAGGACTCCAGAAATTCTAATTTCGTCATATGTAATTAGGCGATGTTATTGAGTGAGTGAGTTGGGTTTTACGCCCCTTTTAGCAATATTCCAGCAATATCACGGCGGGGGACACCAGAACAAGGGCTTCACATAGTGTGCCCATGTGGGGAATCGAACCTGGGCCTTAGGCGCGACGAGCAAACGCTTCAACCACTAGGCTACCCCACCGCCCCGATGTTATTGAGAGAGAGAGAGAGTCAGCTGGAAATACCCATGTCCGTCTGTGAGGACATATGAAACAGGTCAAGGACCTTATCAACCTGGCGAAACCAACACGCACGAGTATAAGTGAGTGAGTTTAGTTTTATGCCGCGTTTAGCTATATTCCAGCAATATCACGCCGGGGTGCACGGGTATGATGATGACAAACCTAGAAATTGGAGGGAATCGAACCCACGAACAAAGGTTCCTGGATAATTGTGGTGCCATAGACGCCTGGATCACAGCCAGCAGTGTTGAGAGACAACAGTACATGGCTGTACAGGAGATCTGTCCCTAAATCAGGACTTGCGTGGCACTCACGGGTTTGAAGCGTAACATTTATGTCTTTTGGAATTTAAACATACTGGATATTTGTACCGTAGCCTTTTGGCAAGAAATTTGTTTCGTATGTCGGCTGTCTTCCTTACGTATCCCATTGCGGAGATGGTGGACAACATGGCGTGCGGTACGGGTGTTTGTTTGGATTGGTGCCCGAACATGGCAGAACGTCATTTCATTCAACTTTCCCTACTGGGACTTCACCGTGCGTCGTCAGAGCCTTCTAATAATAATAATAAAAAATAATAAAAAATAATGAAAATTAATTATGTGATTTTTCAACACCTTCATCCCTCACGATGCAAACTGCAAAAGCATCAGTCTTGATCGTTGGAACAATTGCAGTTGTACATAGTTACATCTCTATTTCTCAGTTATTCAAATCGGCCAAAATGTCGTCTGAAGTTTACAACACACACTCAGACATGCCATATCCAGACGAGGTAGTATTCTTCCCTCACCTGCCCCTTTGCTTTTCCACTATCACTCACTCACTCACATCTCTGTAACTCACTCACACATCCAGGCGGAGGGGGCGAAGCTTAACGCCACTAAAGCAGGTGTCCCTTCATCGTGTTCGAGGGGAATGCCTTGATATGTTCACATGGCGGCAAGGTCGTCGCCGGTGTCGCTGAACGTCAAGGTCAGACCCCACCCCCAGGGTACAACATTCCAAGGCCAATATTGTGATTGTTTCGGCCTGACTCGTGCCTTATCTTGTACTTGTAAAGTACGGCTTAGATACTTACTTCTGAACACCTGACAGTTTCCAGGTCTATTTTCTAGAATCAACCACTATGATATGACACTTTCAAATATATGTTTGTCTGTCTCTCTGTGTCTGTCTGACTCTCTGTCTCTCTCTCTCTGTTTGTCTCTCTCTCTGTCTCTCTCTGTCTCTCTCTCTCTCTCTCTCTCTCTCTCTCTCTCTCTCTCTCTCTCTCTCTCTCTCTCTCTCTCTCTCTCTCTCTCTCTCTCTCTCTCTCTCTCTCTCTCTCTCTCTCTCTCTCTCTCTCTCTCTCTCTCTCTCTCTCTCTCTCTCTCTCTCTCTCTCTCTCTCTCTCTCTCTCTCTCTCTCTCTCTCTCTCTCTCTCTCTCTCTCTCTCTCTGTGCTTGTGTGTGTGTGTGTGTGGGTGTGGGTTGGTGTTTTTAACGTGGAATGAAGGGTTTTTAAAACCCCGTTAGATAGTGTCGTTTTGGTTTTAAGCTGCTTGATTGTAACCTTACACTGGGCAGTTACAAGTTATGTTTCTTTTTAACCTTTATCATACCGTTACTAGATCCCATTGCCAGAAGATACAGGTAAGTTCCCATAATGGAACATTGGCAGGAACATCGTGAATACGAAACAAAACTATAATTTTGTAACACATCTGTTATTTCTTTGAAATTTAGTGAACAAAACTTTCTTTAACACATAAATCGATGATGCAGGAATGTTCCGGGAAGAGCTAGGTAATGAAATGGTTGTTAAACGATCACATAAATTACGATGATGAGTATATAACGCAGCTGGAATGGGTTTTCTTCTCAAAATTGTAGCGACCAAAATCATGTGGCAAGTGTTCCTGAATGTTAGTCGAGCCTTGTCAAAACTGCCCTTGATCCAGGTCATCTGGTTCTAATGGGGGAAGGGCGGTGGGGTAGCCTAGTGCTTAAAGCGTTCGCTCGTCACGCCGAAGACCCGGGTTCTATCCCCACATGGGTACAATGTGTGAAACCCATTTCTGGTGTCCTCCGCCTTGATCTTGCTAGAATGTTGCTAAAAGCGGCTTAAAACCATACTCACTCACTCACTCTAATATGGGATTTCAATATCCATGTTGATTCTCTGTCTGACTCCGTTGCTAAATTCTTTTGTGACATCTTTCAGTCTCCTACAGCATATGTCTGGTCCAACTCATCGATCAGGTCATAAACTAGACCTAGTCATAGCATGCTCCCCTGGAGTCTAGTTCTGTTGTCATTCGGCCTTGTTCTGTTATATATTCCTTGTTGAACAGTCTCTTGAAGCGGGATACAAACTGTATTCTAGCCAACAGATTTGCCGGGTTTTTTCCACGCCCAGATATGGGATATATGCAAAAACTTGACATTAGACGTACTCTGCAGAATCAGGTTTTCAATGAGCAATGTTTCAGTAGTACATATTTGTCTGAACTCTTCTTATCCTAAAAAAAAATAAGACAGGTTATATCCAAAGCTAAAGCAACTTCTAGCCTGGAAGCCATACCAACATGACTATTTAAAGCAAGCTTGAATTCTCTCATCAGTCCATTATCCAATTGAGGGATGCCACGGTTCCCAAAGTTTTCAAACAGTCAGTCGTCACTCCTCTCATTAAAGAGGCCAATTTAAATCCGGATGAGTTAAAAATAAACTACCGGCCAGTATCTAATCTGTCTCTCATTTCAATGTTTGGAGAAAATTGTTTCACCAAGGCTTGAAAGAACACCTACTCAATAACAACCTTTTTGAACCCTTTCAGAGTGCTTACAAATCAAAACATAGCACAGAGACTGCACATGATCATGCCCATAACTTGGAGGACGTCATGAGGGCAATGACCCAGCATCAGAACCTTCGACACCCTAGACCAGTTCACCCTATTGCTTTCACGCCTGGAGGATATAGACTTCAGTGTTAACAGGAAAGGTTGATTTCTCTTGCTGATCAAAATCTCCTATCTGTCAGCCAGAACAGGTTGTCAAGAAGGGCAAGGAGGTTACCTGAACTCTCAAATTAAACAGTAAAAGTTCACGTTGGTGTTCCGCTTTTTGAAA